TTTGCTGTGGCATTATGACACTCTTGTTATCATTAGCTTTGCCTTGTTTGGGCTTGGCACCATATGTGTTCCAACAATTGTCTCTGTTGATTTTGGGAAATGAAATAGCGTCATCATAACTTACGTTCTGTCCATGTGGTCCATTTCCTTTCACTGGTATTGTTGTGTTCAGCCCCAATTCTGATTCAAGCACAAACATTCGGTCTTGAAGAAGTTTTAGCTCCTGTTTGAGTGAAAAACAGCCGTCGCAAAGTTTTGTTCTATTTTCCCGTCCTCCCAACATGCTGTAAGTTAGGTAAATTCCCCAAGTCTTGTGTTGAAGTATGCAAAAAGGAGTAATCCGTGTTTTGTGGAATAAATATGTAAGCAAAAATGATTAAAGGAGATTAAAAAGCAGCAAGCGTGGAGCAGCAAGAGAATGCGACTGCTCTGTCCAGAGCAGGGAGTACAGGAAGTGTTCTTTGATAGTCTCAGGGTTCTGTTTAAAGCGCAGAGAGAACCATGAAGACAAAGGAACACACCAGGCAGGTCCAGGATACTGTTGTGGAGAAGTTTAAAGCCGGATTTGGATACAAAAATATTTCCCAAGCTTTAAACATCTCAAGGAGCACTGTGCAAGCTATTATATTGAAATGGAATCCCCCAAGCGACTTGCAGCTGCAATTGCAGCAAAAGGTGGCGCTACAAAGTATTAGCGCAAGGGGGCCAAATAATATTGCACGCCCCACTTTTCAGTTTTTTATTTAAATTAAAGTTTAAATTATCCAATAAATTTTGTTCCACTTCACGATTGTGTCCCACTTGTTGATTCTTGACAAAAAAATTTAATTTTATATCTTTATGTTTGAAGACTGAAATGTGGCAAAATGTTGAAAGGTTCAAGGGGGCCGAATACTTTTGCAAGGGTATATACACATACAGTATATACAGATATTATTTACTACAGGGTTCCAGTGTAACAATAGCAGAAAGTTAGGTACCCCAGCTTTAAACTAAATCATTTTTTTAGAACTAAATCCAAACTAAATGATTGGTTCCTCTTTTTATACAACTGATAATAACTTTATTGCAACCAAGAGACAAAGCTTTAAAGACAGTAGTAGTTGTTGTTTCCATGGTGAGGGCCAATAATTCTGCATTTTTTAATTGTGATTCAGTGGAAAGTACATTTTACCTGAAGAGGAAAGTGACTGCAGATGGGAATGGTAAAGTGGACAGTTTAATATTCAAAATGGGGAATACTTTTAGTAGTTTTTGGTGATATTTGTGTTTCTTCATCCAGAGGTTTGAGATATGTGTAGTTTGTTTAATTCTAATTGAATATATTATTACATGTTGATATGTTTATCCCAGATGCAGTCGTTGGATTGGAGAGACAAGAGAGAGCCTCAGTCCACAGGAGACAGGGACTCTGCACCGGTAACACACACGTATTATACATATTTATACACAAATGGATTAATACACGTATACAGTATGTATTTATACACATATGTATTTATACACACATGGATTTATACACATATTTTTACACACATATACTCTTATTGCACCTTACATTTCCACAATTTGTACCTGTTGTCCTCGTGTCTGGTCTCTCTTTGGTCTCTCTCTCTGGCTCTCTCTGGTCTCTTTCTTTGTCTCTCTCTCTCTGGCTCTCTCTGGCTCTCTCTGGCTCTCTCTCTCTGGCTCTCTCTCTCTCTGGGCTCTCTCTCTCTCTCTGGCTCTCTCTGGCTCTCTCTGTCTCTCTCTCTCTCTCTCTCTCTGGTCTCTCTCTCTCTGGCTCTCTCTGGCTCTCTCTCTCTCTCTCTGGCTCTCTCCCTCTCTCTCTGGGCTCTCTCTCTCTCTGGCTCTCTCTCTGGTCTCTCTCTCTCTGGGCTCTCTCTCTCTCTCTCTCTCTCTCTGGGCTCTCTCTCTCTCTGGCTCTCTCCCTCTCTCTCTGGGCTCTCTCTCTCTCTGGCTCTCTCTCTGGGCTCTCTCTCTCTCTCTCTCTCTCTCTCTGTCTGATCTGATGGGACACTATGTAGCATCAGATAGATGTTAAATATATAAAATGCAGTTACTCTAAACACAGGTCGGGGTCTTGGACTCTGCTGCAGACGTCTCTTTGGTCCGAGCTCAGTTTAAAGGAGACGGACTCCGGACCTCACAGAACCCACAGGTGACTCTTTACTCTCACGTCTGTCACAAACACTGATGGTACTTCCTGGTTCTAGTGGTGTGAGTATTCTACCTGCAAACATCCCATTGAAAATAAAACAGTCAGGTATAATAGTGAATCTAGAGGGTGTTTTAATTTTAATTTGCGTAAATTCTGATTCAAAAGATTTACGAAAGAGATGAAACCTTTTAGTCTTCTTTCAAAAACTGTTGGGAGACCTTTCTTGTTTCTTTCTAAGATAATTTTGCTCTGCTCCATTGGAACATGTTGTTTTAAATTTGCAATATGTAAGATTTCCATGTAAAGTCATCATTAAAGGGGCAAGACATTAATAAATCAGGTTCTTTTCCAATACTTCTTTAACTGATAACAGTAGTTCAGAGATATTTGAATTTCTAAATTACTTTTCCAGCCTCTAAATCTTGTTATTGTTTTCATTTCGATGTCCCGCCCTCCACCGTTTCACCAATCAGAAAGTCCGTAATACGGGCGCCAGAACTCACCGCGTGGAGCTAATCTCACTGGTAAAGTACCATGTGGCGCAGAACTAAAAAAGGTCTCGTTATGATTCTCAAATCATTAACGACAAAACAAGGAATAAAACCAGGATTTCTATCTTTGTGAAAAAGGTGTTGGTTATAGATTTGTTGTTGACAAAACTCTTGTCTATTCAGCTGTTATGGTCCCAGCTGGATTCGTCTGCATATCTGGCAACCTGAGTCAGGGAGAGTGGGAGAGATTTTTGTAAAACTTTTTTTTCTTGTTTTGCATCAGTCCAGTTCTGACGGACTGTGATTTATGACTTAAATAACTGAGGACATATTAAACTGTTTTCCACACAAAGTTAAGACCATGTGTCGTAGGTCTCTGCTGGTGCGCTGAGGCAGATCTCCCTGAGGCTGGCACTGCAAGGGAGGACGGGGAGAGGCCAACCCCAGAGACCCACTGACGATGACGATGATGAAGAGCAGGACCTGGCAGACAGAGACCCAGTCCGGATCCACGGCCTGAGCGTCCCCAGATACAGAGAGATCTACAGCTCTGTGCTCTCACCTGAAGCCCTGTCAAATCTGCCCGGCAACAACCCCACAGTAAGACTGAGCACAGGGACACACAGGGTTATAGAGCACAGGGACATACAGGGTCATTCAGGGACATGGAGCAACAACATAGAGCACAGGGATGGGTTATAAAGCACAGGGTCTGGTCTCTCTCTCTACTCTCTGGTCTTTCTCTCTGGTTTATCATAGAGCACAGGGACTGGTCTCTCTCTCTACTCTCTGGTCTTTCTCTCTGGTTTATCATAGAGCACAGGGACTGGTCTCTCTCTCTACTCTCTGGTCTTTCTCTCTGGTTTATCATAGAGCACAGGGACTGGTCTCTCTCTCTACTCTCTGGTCTTTCTCTCTGGTTTATCATAGAGCACAGGGACTGGTCTCTCTCTGCTCTCTCCCTCTCTCTGCTCACTCTCAGGTCTCTCTCTCTCTCAGGTCTATCATAGAGCGCAGGGACTGGGCTCTCTGGTTTCTTCGTCTCTGTCTCTCTCTCTCTCTTTCTCTCTGTTTTCTCCGTCTCTCTCTGCTCTCTCTCAGGTCTCTCTCTCTGGTCTGTCACGGGTTAATCATAGAGCACTGCAGGGGTCTCCAACCTGTGGCTAGCTCACCACCTCCTTTCAGGTAGCTCCCCAAAGGAATCAAGAACTTAACACATGATCCTGAAGGATTAAAGTTTCAGTCATTTCATATCTATTCTAACTATAAATATTATCAGTAACGCTCTGTGTGGTTGTCTCTGTGTGGTTGTGTCTGTGGTTGTCTCTGTGTGATAGACTCTGTGTGCCTGTCTCTGTGTGATAGACTCTGTGTGCCTGTCTCTGTGTGATAGACTCTGTGTGCCTGTCTCTGTGTGGTTGTATCTGTGCTGTTGACTCTGTGTGGTTGTCTCTGTGTGGTTGTCTCTGTGCTGTTGACTCTGTGTGGTTGTCTCTGTGTGGTTGTGTCTGTGGTTGTCTCTGTGCCTGTCTCTGTGTGATAGACTCTGTGTGCCTGTCTCTGTGTGGTTGTATCTGTGCTGTTGACTCTGTGTGGTTGTCTCTGTGTGGTTGTCTCTGTGCTGTTGACTCTGTGTGGCTGTCTCTGTGTGGTTGTGTCTGTGGTTGTCTCTGTGCCTGTCTCTGTGTGATAGACTCTGTGTGCCTGTCTCTGTGTGGTTGTATCTGTGCTGTTGACTCTGTGTGGTTGTCTCTGTGTGGTTGTCTCTGTGTGGTTGTCTCTGTGCTGTTGACTCTGTGTGGTTGTCTCTGTGTGGTTGTGTCTGTGGTTGTCTCTGTGCCTGTCTCTGTGTGATAGACTCTGTGTGCCTGTCTCTGTGTGGTTGTATCTGTGCTGTTGACTCTGTGTGGTTGTCTCTGTGCTGTTGACTCTGTGTGGTTGTCTCTGTGTGGTTGTCTCTATGCTGTTGACTCTGTGTGGTTGTCTCTGTGGTTGACTCTGTGCCTGTCTCTGTATGATTGTCTCTGTGTGATAGACTCTGTGTGCCTGTCTCGGTGGTTGACTCTGTGGTTGACTCTGTGCCTGTCTCTCTGTCTGTCTCTCTGTGGTTGACTCTGTGTGGTTGCAGGAGTACCTGGAGCAGGTCCTGGAGCTGAAGCAGCGCCTCCACAGAGCTCTGTGTCGTCCTGAGCTCACAGAGAGAGAGGGAGAGGACGGACGGATGAGCATCAGAGAGATCCACCTCCTCATGTAGAGCATCAGAGAGATCCACCTCCTCATGTAGAGCATCAGAGAGATCCACCTCCTCATGTAGAGCATCAGAGAGATCCACCTCCTCATGTAGAGCATCAGAGATCCACCTCCTCACGTAGAGCATCAGAGAGATCCACCTCCTCATGTAGAGCATCAGAGAGATCCACCTCCTCATGTAGAGCATCAGAGATCCACCTCCTCACGTAGAGCATCAGAGAGATCCACCTCCTCATGTAGAGCATCAGAGAGATCCACCTCCTCATGTAGAGCATCAGAGAGATCCACCTCCTCATGTAGAGCATCAGAGAGATCCACCTCCTCATGTAGAGCATCAGAGAGATCCACCTCCTCATGTAGAGCATCAGAGAGATCCACCTCCTCATGTAGAGCATCAGAGAGATCCACCTCCTCATGTAGAGCATCAGAGATCCACCTCCTCATGTAGAGCATCAGAGAGATCCACCTCCTCATGTAGAGCATCAGAGAGATCCACCTCCTCATGTAGAGCATCAGAGAGATCCACCTCCTCACGTAGAGCCAGAGGAAATAAAGCCGTCTTCCTTCCTTCAATCAATCAATCAACTTTTTTTTGCATAGCGCCTTTCCTACTTAAGGCAACACAAAGCGCCTCTCAACCCAAGGCAAGGCAAGGCAAGTTTATTTATATAGCACAATTCATACACAAGGCAATTCAAAGTGCTGAACAAAACAAGAAAGCATCAAAATCATAAATTATCACAGAAGATTAAAAAGAAGGATAAAAATATAAAATCCCTCAGTTGTATGCACAGTTAAACAGAACCGTCTTTAACCTGGTTTTAAACATTGTCAGAGAGGAGGCCTGTCTCACATCTTCAGGAAGACTGTTCCAGATTTTAGCAGCATGAATCTGAAAAGCAGCCTCCCCATGTTTAGTTCTGACTCTGGGCACTAACAGGAGTCCAGTCCCTGTGCTCCTCAGAGTCCCAACAGGAGTCCAGTCCCTGTGCTCCTCAGAGTCCCAACAGGAGTCCAGTCCCTGTGCTCCTCAGAGTCCCAACAGGAGTCCAGTCCCTGTGCTCCTCAGAGTCCCAACAGGAGTCCAGTCCCTGTGCTCCTCAGAGTCCGGGCTGGTTCATATGGGACTAACATGTCACTAATATATTTTGCTGCGAGGCCATGGAGAGACTTGTAACAAGCAGAGCTGTTTTAAAGTCTATTCTCTGAGCCACAGGAAGCCAGTGCAGAGACCTGAGGACTGGACTAATATGGTCGTACTTCCTGGTTCTAGTCAGGACTCGAGCTGCTGCATTTTGAATGTACTGCAGCTGTTTTACCGCCTGTTTGGACCCACGTCATATCAAGCATCAAGAAATATTAAAAACAGAATAAAATCACAAGTAATTAAAAACATTAAAATCACACACAGGATTAAAATAATAAATGACCACAGTGCATTAAAAAGAGTAAATAATCCTTCAGTTGTACGCAGCTAAACAGAACTGTTTTTAACCTGGATTTGAAAACTGCCAGAGTAGATGCCAGCCTCACATCTTCAGGAAGATTGTTTCAGATTTTAGCTGCATAAATCTGAAACGCTGCCTCCCCATGTTTAGTTCCGACTCTTGGAACCAGCAATCAGAATCAGAATCCTTTTTATTGCCACGTAAATAACAGGAAGTCACAGACTTGGAAATTGCTTTGGCTCAGTGCAACAGTCAGAAAGAGATAATAAAAATCGAGAATAAAAAACACTTCTAAGGAATACATTTAAAATTAAATTTAAAATAGAGTTACAGTTACTATTTACAATATACAAGTGCACATGGTGCACACAATGTAAGGTGACAGCAGTACAGTGAAGTAAAGTGACGTATGATGGGCAGTAAAGTGACTTTATAAAGGGCGGGGACAGGTTAAGAAGTGTTCAAGAGTCCAACAGCAGAGGGGAAGAAACTGTTCTTGTGGCGGGAGGTTCTAGTCCTGATGGACCGCAGCCTCCTGCCTGAGGGGAGTGGTTGGAATAGTCCATGTGCAGGGTGAGAGGGGTCGGCTGTGATACGACCAGCCCGGCCTCGAGCTCGGGCGACGTACAGGTCCTGCAGCGATGGAAGGCTGCGGCCGATCACTTCCTCTGCAGAGCGCACAATGCACTGTAGTCTCTGTTTGTCCCTGACTGTGGCTCCAGCGAACCACACGGTGATGGAGGAGGTGATGGAGGAGGTGATGGAGGAGGTGATGGAGGAGGTGACGGAGGAGGTGATGGAGGAGGTGACGGAGGAGGTGTTGGAGGAGGTGATGGAGGAGGTGATGGAGGAGGTGTTGGAGGAGGTGATGGAGGAGGTGATGGAGGAGGTGTTGGAGGAGGTGATGGAGGAGGTGTTGGAGGAGGTGTTGGAGGAGGTGATGGAGGAGGTGATGGAGGAGGTGTTGGAGGAGGGCCTTCTTGATGAGGGAGCTGATGGTCGGCTCCCACTTGAGGTCCTGGGTGATGGTGGTGCCCAGGAAACGGAAGGTCTCCACAGAGGTGATGGGGGAGTCCATCACGGAGGGTGGGGGTGGGGGGACAGTGCTCTTCCTGAAGTCCACAATCATCTCCACTGTCTTCTGGGCGTTCAGCTCCAGGTTGTTACCACTGCACCAGGACACCAGCCGGTCCACCTCCCTCCTGTAGGCGGACTCATCGTTGTTGGAGATGAGTCCAATGAGGGTGGTGTCGTCCGCGAACTTGATCAGCTTCACGGAGTCGTGGCTGGAGGTGCAGTGGTTGGTGTACAGGGAGAAGAGCAGGGGAGAAAGAACACAGCCCTGTGGGGCTCCTGTATTTATAATCCGAGAGTCCGAGACATTCTTCCCCAGACGCACTCGCTGCTTCCTGTCCGTCAGGAAGTCAGTGATCCACCTGCAGGTGGAATCGGGCACGTTGAGCTGGGAGAGCTTGTCCTGGAGCAGGGATGGCAGGATTGTGTTGAAGGCAGAGCTGAAGTCCACGAACAGGACCCTGGCGTAGGTCCCCGGGGAGTCCAGGTGCTGTAGGATGTGGTGGAGGGCCAGGTTAATGGCGTCGTCTACAGATCTGTTGGCTCTGTAGGCGAACTGCAGGGGGTCCAGGAGGGGGGAGGTGAAGGACTTGAGATGGGAGAGAACCAGGCGTTCAAATGACTTCATGACGACAGACGTAAGTGCTACAGGTCTGTAGTCGTTGAGTCCTGTGATCCTGGGCTTCTTCGGGACGGGGACAATGATGGAGGATTTGAAGCAGGCCGGGACATGGCAGGACTGCAGAGAGGAGTTGAAAATGTCCATGAACACAGGAGTAAGCTCACTGGCGCAGTGTCTCAGAGTGGCCGGAGACACGTGGTCCGGGCCAGGAGCAGCGCGGGAACAGCGCGAAAAGCTCCGCGCACAGTGGTGTAACAGTGATCCAGAGTGTTCTCCTCTCTGGTCGGGCATTTGATAAACTGTCTGTATTTGGGTAATTCCTGGCTCAAGTTTCCCTTATTAAAATCCCCCAGGGTAATAATCAGAGAGTCCGGGGAATAAACGTTCCATACGCCATGCGCGGACGCAGAGCGGTGTGTAAACAGAGGCAAGAATGAATTAAACAATTTCACGCGGGGAGTAAAATGGTCTACAATGAATGAAAAGATATTCCAGAGCAGGAGAGCAGTGCTTGGAGATCACTGTCACATCGTTACACCAGTTTGTATTGACGTAGAAACACAGCCCACCGCCTCTGCTCTTCCCTGAGAGCGCACAATGGCGATCTGCGCGGAACAGCTCAAAACCCTGCAGCTCCAGAGCGCAGTCCGGGATCCGCTCATTTAGCCAGGTCTCAGTGAAGCAGAGGACACAGGATGAGGCATTCTCTAGTTTTCAGACGCAGAGGACTTCACACCAGAACGTCCTGACATGAGGACTACTTCCGGCCGGCCGGCTCTGATGCTAACAGAGCTATGCTAGCGGCTTCTTGTGTAAAGATCTTCTCCAATATGCAGCTTTGCAGCATGTCTTTGAACAGAGACATTCCACGGGCTTTATATAACAGCAGTATGTGTTCACGGAGGTGACTTTATATAACAGCAGTATGTGTTCACGGAGGTGACTTTATATAACAGCAGTATGTGTTCACGGAGGTGACTTTATATAACAGCAGTATGTGTTTATGGAGGTGACTTTATATAACAGCAGTATGTGTTTATGGAGGTGACTTTATATAACAGCAGTATGTGTTTATGGAGGTGACTTTATATAACAGCAGTATGTGTTTATGGAGGTGACTTTATATAACAGCAGTATGTGTTCACGGAGGTGACTTTATATAACAGCAGTATGTGTTTATGGAGGTGACTTTATATAACAGCAGTATGTGTTTATGGAGGTGACTTTATATAACAGCAGTATGTGTTTATGGAGGTGACTTTATATAACAGCAGTATGTGTTTATGGAGGTGACTTTATATAACAGCAGTATGTGTTTATGGAGGTGACTTTATATAACAGCAGTATGTGTTCACGGAGGTGACTTTATATAACAGCAGTATGTGTTTATGGAGGTGACTTTATATAACAGCAGTATGTGTTCACGGAGGTGACTTTATATAACAGCAGTATGTGTTCATGGAGGTGACTTTATATAACAGCAGTATGTGTTCACGGAGGTGACTTTATATAACAGCAGTATGTGTTCACGGAGGTGACTTTATATAACAGCAGTATGTGTTCACGGAGGTGACTTTATATAACAGCAGTATGTGTTCACGGAGGTGACTTTATATAACAGCAGTATGTGTTCACGGAGGTGACTTTATATAACAGCAGTATGTGTTCACGGAGGTGACTTTATATAACAGTAGTATGTGTTCACGGAGGTGCACCAAATGTGTTTTTATATTATTAAACGGAATTTCCGCATCGGCGAACACACTCGAAGCAGTTGCATAAGGTCACGGGAGCCTGACAACGCATATATTCACAAGCACAGAGTCCCCCATTGTCAACTCTGGTTTGAGTCCTGCTGAAGCCTGGTGTGGGTCCTGTTTTGGCTGTTTACAGTATTTTCAGTCTGCTCGCTCAGTCCGCTGATGTCCCCGTGACCACTTTGCTGCTCTCTGATTGGTTGTCGCACGAACGTCCCAAGGAAAGGATGAGCAGAATCCATCTGCTGTGGGCTCCTGCTCCTCCCTTTTCACTTTCCCGCTAAGTCCGTGCGTCATTATTGAACAGTCCGTTCGTGCGTGCCGAGAGGTCCGTGCGTTGTGACGGTCGAACGCGCGCCACCATAGACTTTGCATTGAAACCCGACGCAGCATGATCCGGTCTGAAAGCACCATTAAAGTCCTTCCCTCTCCACACACACTTCCTCCTCCAGCTCATCTGGCTCCTCTTCATGTGGAGAAGCAGCGGCTCTACTCCGAGCTCCTCCCATGTGACTTAACTCCATATACATCACAAAGACATGGATGTCACACTCAGCAGATTCTGAAAATAAGCCTCACAGACCTAAGAAGGCACTTTTGAGTTGTCTTCTGTATATTAACTGTGCTATAGTAAACTGGCTTAAACTCAGCCCGTCCCATGCCCTTGTTATTCTCCAAGTCACTCTCTCATGTCTCCAAACACTGTACGACAAAGGAACACAGACAAGCAAAAATCAATTTAAATATTTTATTTTTTAAAAGTATGATTTGTAAGAAAACAAATAAGACTGAACAGTTCTCAGTAAGAGTGAGTGTGATGAGAGTAAAAGGTGCGAGTCCCTTTACTTTGAGCCCAACATGAATCAGGAGAAAGTGGTAACATGATGGATATTACAGTGATCCCTTCTAGTCGTTTGGGGTTAAAGGTCAGATAATATACTGATTCTAGGCTCAGTTTCAAAAGAATTTCTTGGTTAGAGGTAGGAAATGTAGAGGAGGGTCTGATGATCCAGGACATTCCATATTTCATCACATTTATGCTCATCCGTCACTTATGGACCAATGGCTCTCTGTTTTTATCATTGCATTTCCTGTTTGATTCTCTGATCTGTGTTGGCAAATCGACAACTTTGTGAAGTGCTTGGATAAAAACTACTGTTGTGATTTAGAGCTATACACAAATAAATGTAGCTGAATAAATTGCCTGGATCAATGGTCAAATAGTTATTAAAAATTGACACATGAATGACATTAGTTCATAAATGTCAGTTCTCTGTGTTCTTAACAGCTAAATATAATCTGTGTCACTTCATAACTTGAGTATTTTTCCTGTTTAAATAAGACAAAAGTTAGATTTGACAAAAACAAACTGGGTTGATTTGATAAGCTATGCTAATGTTACACAAACGGGATGCTAATGCTATGCTAACGTTCTGCTAATGCTATGCTAAAGTTAACGCCATGGATGCTAATGCTATGCTAAAGGTTGGCTAACGGCTGGTTGGTTAGGCATTGCTAACCCGGCTCAGCGAAGATCAACAAATCATAAAACAAAAGCAGGACTGAAGTGATTTAAAACTGGCAGTTAGATTAAAGAAGAAGATTGGATTAAATAGATCCTGTGTCCTTTTGTTTAGGACTAACAATTACCTCAGTCATTAGTGATTTAACATTTAATTTTATCATTAAGAAAGCTTCATTGCATTCCATACAACTGTAATGACTCAAAATAGGTTTGTTTTAATGTTCTATTTTAAAGTAATACCAAAAGAGAATTGAGACCAGAAAGAAAGAGAAAAGAGAGACCATAAAGAAGAGAGAGGACAGAGAGAGAGCATAGAGAAAGAGAAACCAGAGGCAACTCGAGACTATATCTCTGTTATATAGACAGTGTCCACCAGGGGTCTGCTGTACTCCCAGAATACTTTGAAACTGTATCAAAAGCATAATAAATGACCTTTAAAATGAGATGTTTAACCGGAAGCCCATTGTTTTTTGTTTTTTTTTCAGATCCTCAACCGAAGAGAAAACCCAACACAGCTACAGTATGTACAGTTACAGCACTTTGCATAGAAAAATAAGTTTAATATCAGCAGTTTTTTTTCCCTCTTTATGTAAACCACAGTTATATCAAAAAAAGTAAATTTCCAAAATATAAAATGTTAGAATGAATGGTCGTTTTAGAGCGTGGGCAATGGTCACTTCTCGTCTGTACTTCCTGGAGCACCACATTAGTGCAAAAGAAAACAGTAGAACACAATTAAAACATTTGATTTGACACAAGGAATGCAAGGAGTTAGAGGAGGTTCTAGCAGTGAACTCTGTGTTGGCGCAAGTTCACTTTTTACTGGCAACGAGATACAACCAGTTCATATTTTGTGAAGAGAGAGAGCAGAGACCATAGAGAGACCAGATATAGAGGAGAGAGAGAGCAGAGAGAGATGAGAGAGAGAGCAGAGACCAGATATAAAGAGAGAGAGACCAGAGAGAGAGAGCATAGACTAGATATAGAGAAGAGAGAGACCAGAGAGAGGAAGCAGAGAGAGACAGAGACCAGATATAGAGAAGAGAAATTGAGAGACCAGAGAGAAACCAGAGAGAGAAGAGACCAGCGAGAAAGAGACCGACACCAGAGAGAGAGAGACAGACCAGAGAGACCTGAGAGAGACCACAGACAGAAGAGACCAGAAAGAAAGACTGGAGAGAGACCAGAGAGAGAAGAGACCAGAGAGAAAGAGACTGACACCAGGGAGAGACCAGTGAACTTCTTATTTTGGGAATGACGCATTGGTGCAAAGTTCACTTTTTAGTGGCAGCGAGCTCCAACCCGCATGGTTTTTGAAGGTCCCAAATAAAGACCGGTTTGCAACATCTCACGAGCTGCGAATGGAGGAATACGTTTGTTTTTTGTGGTAGTTCAGTTGTGTCCTTGTCGTGCATAGTGGGGGGGGGTTATGAGGTGAGGATCTGTTCCATTTCTTTTTTAGGTTGCGTTCACGTGATGCAGTAACTTTCATTGCCATTTTGGTCAACACATGGTATAATTGATGGCGAGGTCATGCTAAAATACTATGTAAACGCCCTGTGCCCGATTCTCATTGTATTAAACTAAACAATTTGCAACGGTCCTAAGATTGTTACTCACTTTCCCAAACCTCGCGTCCACATTTATCGCAGATAGATTGGAGAGAGAGAAACTGGAGCGACCAAGGAGAGAGAGCAGCCAGAGAGACCAGAGAGAGACTAGAGAGATCATACAGAATACAGAGAGACCAGAGACGGAGACCAGAGAGAGAGAGAGAGACAGGAGAGCCCATACTGAGAGAGACCATAGAGAGACCAGAGAGAGACTAGAGAGACCATACAGAATACAGAGACATAGACTAGTGAGTGACTAGCCAGAGAGACCAGAGAGAGAGACCGGAGAGGAGAGCCTATACTGAGAGAGACCAGAGAGAGTGACCAGAGACAGAGAGAGAGACCAGAGACAGAGATAGAGAGAGAGAGAGAGAGAGACAGAGAGAGAGAGACCAGAGAGACCACAGACAGAGACAAGCCAGAGAGAGAGAGAGAGACATGACGGACATTAGTTCATACCTTTTCGTAAGTTTTTCACAGAATAGCTTTCAGTCATGGTAAGGCTAACAACAGCTAGCATTATAGCAGCTCACTTCTCATTTTCTCAGCCATAAAAATCTCAATGAAATTCAGAATCTTTCCCTGGCTGCGTTACATCATTATAAGCAACAACTCAACCCCTGGTATAAAAAAGCTTACTATAGTCATTGGATTGGCTGTGGATCCATTTGTTATCAACGTGATCACTTTGGATACTTTAGAGTTTAAAAGAAGTCGCTTTCAATTCTATTTGGCATTCAAAAAGTCATGGGTTCATCTCTAAATCTCCAGCTAAATGTCTATGATGTATTGTGTTTTTTTTCAAGTAAATTAAAGCTGGGGTATGTAAGTTTCAAACCACATAAAAGTTTAACGATGTCAACGTCACTAGTTCCTGGTTCAATAACAGTTCAGTTCTATCACTAGTTTTCAGGAATGTTTGGCCTCTGTCACATCAATATCAGATTTTTTGGCTTTTACCCTCACTCAGGCAATCAGTTCTCAGCCCAAAGAGTCAAAAAGTGACTCACTGGGATCTTTCAAACACAAAAGATAACACGTTTCTTGTAAAATAGATCGGATAGAGATAGACCAGTGAGAGACCAGAGAGAGAGACAGACCAGAGAGTGAGACCGGAGAGAGCAGAAAGAGAGACCGGAGAGAGCAGAAAGAGAGACCGGAGAGAGCAGAAAGAGAGAGCAGAAAGAGAGACCAGAGAGCAGCGAGAGAGAGCGGAGAGAGCAGAAAGAGAGACCGGAGAGAGCAGAAAGAGAGACCGGAGAGAGCAGAGAGAGAGACCGGAGAGAGCAGAGAGAGAGACCGGAGAGAGCAGCGAGAGAGCGGAGAGAGCAGAAAGAGAGACCGGAGAGAGCAGAAAGAGAGACCTGAGAGAGCAGAAAGAGAGACCGGAGAGAGCAGAAAGAGAGACCAGAGAGAGCAGAAAGAGAGACCAGAGAGCAGCGAGAGAGAGCGGAGAGAGCAGCGAGAGAGCGGAGAGAGCAGCGAGAGAGCGGAGAGAGCAGAAAGAGAGACCGGAGAGAGCAGAAAGAGAGACCTGAGAGAGCAGAAAGAGAGACCGGAGAGAGCAGAAAGAGAGACCAGAGAGAGCAGAAAGAGAGACCAGAGAGCAGCGAGAGAGAGCGGAGAGAGCAGCGAGAGAGCGGAGAGAGCAGCGAGAGAGCGGAGAGAGCAGAAAGAGAGACCGGAGAGAGCAGACAGAGAGACCAGAGAGAGAGACCGGAGAGAGCAGCGAGAGAGAGCGGAGAGAGCAGACAGAGAGACCAGAGAGAGGGACCGGAGGGAGACACATTTTTAGATCAGCTCTCAACCCAAAAAGTCAAACAATGACTCCCAAGGCTCTGTTTTACAAGTTTGCAAAAAAAACTAACTGACAGCATGGAGCTTTCTGTTGTGGACAAAAATATATATTATTTATGAAACACATAAAAGTGAGGTACCCCAGCTTTAATGCCACCCGGAACAGTCAATCAAAACTCCGCTCCGATCATTACATTGAAACCCTTTGATTTTGGCATCTCATCACCACGGCAACGCAAACGTGAACGCAACCCGCTCCTTCCACACACTGCGTGAGCCTCTCCCCCCCTTTGTCACAGGACCCTCTGGCGGTGAGGTGGTGGTGCTTGTGGAGGAGGAGGAGCAGGAGGTGCCTCAGTCGTCCTCCTCTCCGTCTCCGGGGGGCCTGGTGATGCGGCGGATGCCCCTCTTGCCCGCGGGGCCCTTGGGTTTGGCAAAGGCCTGTTTGTGCGCGTGTTGCTTTGGGTGCACCTCCTCGTACAGGAAGTCGGCCGTGAGCTCTTCGCCGCTCTCAATCTCCAGCTGCGAGAAAACCAGGAAGTGAGGAGTTAAGGCTGCGGGTACTTCACTTTGATACTGTGATGAAATTAATTAGATTAGAGAGAGAGAGGAGAGAGAGGAGAGAGAGAACGTGTAGAGAGAGACCAGAGAGAGAGACCAGAGAGAGAGACCAGAGAGAGAGACCAGAGAGAAAGACCAGAGAGAGAGACCAGAGAGAAAGACCAGAGAGAGAGACCAGAGAGAAAGACCAGAGAGAGAGACCAGAGAGAAAGACCAGAGAGAGAGACCAGAGAGAGAGACCAGAGAGAAAGACCAGAGAGAGAGACCAGAGAGAAAGACCAGAGAGACCAGAGAGAAAGACCAGAGAGAGAGACCAGAGAGAAAGACCAGAGAGAGAGACCAGAGAGAAAGACCAGAGAGAGAGACCAGAGAGAGAGACCAGAGAGAGAGACCAGAGAGAGAGACCAGAGAGAGAGACCAGAGAGAGAGACCAGAGAGAGAGACCAGAGAGAGAGACCAGAGAGAAAGACCAGAGAGAGAGACCAGAGAGAAAGACCAGAGAGAGAGACCAGAGAGAGACCAGAGAGAGACCAGAGAGAGACCAGAGAGAGAGACCAGAGAGAAAGACCAGAGAGAGAGACCAGAGAGAAAGACCAGAGAGAGAGACCAGAGAGAGAGACCAGAGAGAGAGACCAGAGAGAGAGACCAGAGAGAGAGACCAGAGAGAGAGACCAGAGAGAGAGACCAGAGAGAGAGACCAGAGAGAGAGACCAGAGAGAGACCAGAGAGAGACCAGCGAGCGAGACTTGAGAGAGACCAGAGAGAGACAAGAAAGAGACCAGAGTGAGACCATGTAGCCTGTGCCTCGTCAATAACCTCTCCGCCCCAAAGAGTCAAATAGTGACTCGTTACGGTCTCATTTACCTTTTTCTCTATTTCCATTTTGAGGTTGTTCTCCACCATGTCGACCAGAGGGTTTTTGCAGCTGGAGTAGAGCATCCTCTCCTTGATGCTGCACTTGTATCCAGGCATCGAATACAAGAACACTGGAACACAAACACACAGGCTTAACATGATGACCAGAGAGAGAGAGAGACCAGAGAGAGAGAGACCATTGGAAGACCAGAGAGAGAGAAGAGACCAAAGAGAGAGACTGAGGGGACCAGAGAGAGAGACAGAAGAGACCAGAGAGAGAGACAGAAGAGACCAGAGAGAGAGAGACGAGACCAGAGAGAGAGACAGAAGAGACCAGAGAGAGAGAGACGAGACCAGAGAGAGAGGGAGAAGAGACCAGAGAGATCATTAACAGACCAGAGAGAGAGAGGAGACCAGAGAGAGATACAGAAGAGACCAGAGAGAGAGAGACAGAGGGGACCAGAGAGAGAGGGAGAGAGACCATAGAGAGACAGAAGAGAAAGACCAGAGAGAGAGACCAGAGAGATTGAGAGAGAGAAAGAAAGAGAGTAGAGAGAGAGACCAGAGAGACAGACAGAAGAGACCAGAGAGAAACCAGAGAGAGCGTGAGACCAAACAACGAAACTACAAATAAATAACTGTAATTGAATACGAGATACTTTTCAGATTTGGAGAGAGAAAGAAAGAAAAAGAGAGAGAGAACAGAGAGAGACCAGAAAGAGACCAGGTTTGAGAGAGCAAAGAAGTGACCAAACGTACATGCATTGGATTTGATTATGTGATTCTGTAGACTTCAGAGTCTGCTGGAGTCCAAACCGGTCCAGAGAGTCCCGCTGTGGCTGCGGGTTTCCATCAGACTCAGCAGGAGCAGAGCAGACCCCACCCACTTCCTCAAATCTTCAGGTTAAGACTGTTTGAAATGGGTGGAGTCTGCTCTGCTCCGTTCTACTCTGAAGGAGACTAGAGTGGACTAAAACGGTCTGTAGGATATGGTTGTTTGAGATGGTAGGATGCGGACCCTTCCAGCTACACACTCCAGGGGGCGCTCACCTGTGGACTCCAGGTAGTCCCCTTCGTGCGAGTGTTTGTAGAGGAAGAAGTGGTATCGTGCAGTGTCTTTGGGAACTCTGGACGGCAGGTCTCGGATCTCTGTGGGCTCCGTGCTGCACAGTCTGATCAGCTCCTCCTCAAAGTCGATTTTCTGGAAAAGCAAAAGGACAGTTTTAAAAAGATCTAAACGAAACAACACAGATTACATCAGGTCTGTCTGCAGCAGTGTATGAGCGAGTGGAACTAGACTGTCGTTTTTAGAATTCAATTTACAACTCTCTCCTCTAGTCTAGACCACTCTAGTCTCCTCTAGTCTAGACCACTCTAGTCTCCTCTAGTCTAGTCCACTCTAGTCTCCTCTAGTCTAGTCCACTCTAGTCTCCTCTAGTCTAGTCCACTCTAGTCTCCTCTAGTCTAGACCACTCTAGTCTCCTCTAGTCTAGACCACTCTAGTCTCCTCTAGTCTAGTCCACTCTAGTCTCCTCTAGTCTAGTCCACTCTAGTCTCCTCTAGTCTAGTCCACTCTAGTCTCCTCTAGTCTAGTCCACTCTAGTCTCCTCTCCTCTCCTCTCTTCTTGTCATCTCTAGTCTCCTCATGATTACAAAAGTTTCCTCTGATCCTGTTTAACCTGTACCAGGTCCTTCTTGGTCCTGGTTCTATCCAGTACGAGCTGGTACTAAAGTGTTCTAACTGACAGTGACTGACCACGCTGGAAGCCGTGGATACCACAGAATTTCCCCAGATGCTGTATCAGGTAAGGGATTACCTGTAATCTTTAATCCTTCAATTGAAGGTATAGGAGGATTATCTACTTCCGGGTGGATCATCAAGACTATTGGTCCTCCCAATTGTCAATCATTCTGGTGATACATGCTCATCAATAAAAGAGTGGAGAGGGCGGTTCTTTTGTAAAATGTGTGGAAATCCTCTAATATAACTTTAACATTCATGATAAAATGAATTGTTTAAAGCTGCACTAACTTATTCTTTTGAAGAATAAGTAGCGCAGATTTGTGCTGGCATGTCATTATATTTTAGATCGAGTTTTGGTGCAAAAAGGAGAGAGTGTTTCGGGTCCCGATTGTGACCAATCACAGCGGACCAGTGGCCCCCGCTTTCATGAGAAAAGCCACAGGTCTGTGGTTAGCACAGACAGCTGAGTTAGCACAACAAGCGGCGCAGGCTAACCTGAAACCTCCTGCGTCTTCGTTACTGCTTACACAGCGAAACATCCAAAAGAAAGTCTCGTCCTCTCCGCGCTTCCCGGTTTTGTCATTCTATGGTAGGGGTGTTCATAGTTAACCGATTAATCAATTAACTGCAATTAAGCACGTGACCGAGTATGCGCACATTGACCAAATAACTGCGTTTACATGTTTGCGCCACTAGAGGTCAGACAAGTGCCACACAACAATTGAACGCATAGGTCAAAACAACAGAAGCAGCAATAGCACATGTTCATGCATGATGAAGCGGAGAAAAAGTACAGCGTGGGAGCATTTTATCCTACAAAAGGATACGTTTACGGCAAAATGCAAGTATTGTGATTAAATATGCATCAAGTACCAGCTCGCTCTTATACCACATTAATAGCCACCACCCGACTGTGTCTTGCGTGAGTGGCAGCGCATCGACCATGGCCTCGACCATGGCCTCGACCCAGCCTACAATCAACACGATGCTCAGAACAGGTGCAATGACGAAAAAGCCGAATCCATAACTCAAGGTATTTGCCGAATGATTGAGAAGGACATGATGCCAATAAGCATGGTGGAAGGCGCTGGATTTCGTGAGTTGATGGCTTTAACTCAACCCTGATACAAAGTCCCATCACGCTCTGCAGTCACAAGACGCATTGAAAGAAGATACAAGGATAAAAAAAATACCGCGAAGGACTTGGTACAGACAGCGGAATGGATCGCTATTACAACGGCTTGTTGGACTGCACTGAACACGGAAGTTATCTAACAATCACTAGCCATTTAATCGACTCGGACTGGGAATTAAAATCATTTGTGCTTTTAACTGAATCGAGGTCTGCCCGCCATACATCTGAAAATCAAAGAATCTATTGAAAAGTGGGGGCTCACGGGCCGCGTGACTGCTTGTGTACACGACAATGCAAAAAACATTGTTGCCGCCAACAGGGACGCTGAATGGGAGTCTGTTCCATGCTTTGCCCACACCCTTCAACTTGCAATAAATGATGGTTTTTCTTTACATTTGTATCGTGTCATCTCAGCAGCTGCAAAGATTGTGGGTCATTTTAACCACAGCACAGTGGCGTCCAAAGCGCTCCAAAGGAAACAAGACCAAAGGAAGCTTCCAATTCACAAACTTATTCAGTCCTGTAAGACGCGTTGGAACAGCGTCGCAGAGATGTTCGAGCGCTTGTTGGAACAGCGCTGGGCCATAACCGCGGTGCTCTCTGATGGATCTGTAACCAAACTGCAAGACGCAAGGCATTTGGAGCTAAAAGACAAACACTGGCAGCTCATGGAAGATACAATGCCAACCCTCAGGGCACTCAAGTGCGCGACTACAGTTATGTCTGCTGAACGTGAGGTTTCTATTTCAAACACGTATCCTATAACATTTGGACTTATCAATGGACACTTGCAAGAAAAAGAAAATGACACCCGTCACGTAATGGAATTCAAAGCTAAAGTCCGGACCTCGCTGGCCACAAGAATGAAGGTATGTAATACGCACAACATTAACACAATTTAATCATAATGTCCATGCTGATGAAAAATTAAATATAATTAATTTACGTGCGTAGATTGACAACGGAGACACGTTATCATCGCCTGCATTCATCACGTCAATGTTGGACCCACGCCACAAGCATCTGAGTTTCTTGTCCGCTGATAAAAAAAACATTGGCCAACCAAATACTGTGCGATCTGGCAGCAAAAATCCTGTGCATGGAAGATGGTGAGGGAGAACTGGCTGATGGAGACAACGGAGAAGAGGGGCAGGAAAGCGCGTCAAGGCCTCGGGACAGCGCATCCTCAAGGCCCGAGGACAACACAGCGACAGCAATGGCATTATTGCTTGGAAACGCATATTTCTGTAACGCAATAAATGAACGTGAACGAGACTGAGCCGTTTACATTGCTCTGGGCGGGGGGCTGCTGACGTCAGGTCCAACTTCTAGACGTCAGGTCCAACTTCTGTGCCAGTGTTGGCGCCAGATTCAAAATTCAAATGTAGTAATACAGGTCGCCAGCAGATGGCGCCTCACAGACGGTTTTAGGCAGAAAGTTTAACTTTCAACTAATTTGCACCAAAGTGACAAGATAATGACCAGGATATCTAGACAACACTATTGGACACTCATTTATACCGTTTATCAGCAAAAAAAAGTGGATTTGAGGGTGAGTTGTCCTTTAAGGAAATTTTGGAAAACGTGCATCCCTATTCTATGGTCACACCATCCACGTGCAAAAGTGCCATAGACGCACAACAGCACAGAGAGTAGAGTAGAGTAGAGTAGAGTAGAGTAGAGTCAAATAGGGCTGGTGGAAACGGGGCTATAGATTACATTAATAAACTGTGAAATCTGTAGAGCAGTGTCTCCCAAAGTGGGGTCCGCGGCCCACCAGGGGGCACTGAGGGTACTGCAGGGGGGCCGCGGGAGGTCATAAAAAAAATAAAAAAATAATCCATCCATCCATCCATTTTCTACCCTTTAATCCATTTCTGGGTCAGGGGGGTGGCAGTCAGAGATGCCACCCAAGTCTCATAGCACCAGCCCCTCACTGACCCTCTGCAGGTGGTGAGTCCACAGGAGGACGGCTGCTCTGAGTGTGAGCATAGCCTTGATCTTTCAGCGGGGGCTTTGGACAAAGTGGGGTTAAGTGTCTTGCCCAAGGACACAACGACAGCAGTCATCAGTGGGAGTCGGTGGAGAAGGTGCAGAGGTGGGAATTGAACCCACAACCTTCTGGCCTTAAGGCCAATGCTCTGCTCTACCAACTGAGCTACTGTCGCCCTAAAAAAATAATATAATTATTTAATGTTAAATTTATAATGTTTTGTTTGTAATATTAAAATATTTGTGTTCATTATTTGACTTGAATAATCCACTGTAATCATTTTTGTATTACAATGTTTGTAGCAGAGGCTATTTCCCCAAAATAAAATAACCAGAAGAGCCTATTCTTAATGTTGTCTTCTTGGTTATTATTTTGGGGGGCCACGCAGACCCGTCAGATTTTTAAGGGGGCCTCGGTGTTACTGAGTTTGGGAATGGCTGCTGTAGAGAATATATAACATTCTGTAGCCATCACAGCTGTTCAAAGTACCATCCTCCTTTGTTCTCTGGGCACAAAGAGTCAGACGATGAGACCAGAATCACAGAGCAGCGGCTTTTGGGGAAATAGTGAGTCTTTGTTCAGAAAACAGATCCACAAAAGTCTGTGTCTGTAAACACCAGTGAACCAGGAGCAACTAATGAGAGCGATATCAGAGGAAAGGTGACCACACAGAGCTGGTCCCGTCGGATCTCCAAGTCCGGCCGATATTTCATGTGTTTTAATTATCATGGCCATAGTTGACATGCGAAAGCCAGATCCTGTCAGACCTCTGAAGCTGTGCAGGGCAGGGCCTGGTTAGTACTGTGATGGGAGACCTCTGGGAACACTGGTGCCACATGGAGCGGCCACCAATGCAATATCAAGGATTAAAATGCCTTCTGTCCAATCAGGAAGCAGCGTGTGTGAGAGTGGGCGGGTCTAACGAGTCTCTTCACAGTTCAGTGTATGTTCTGCGGACGCACCAGTTGGATGTAGTTGATCTTCTTGTCTCTGAATTTCTCGAGAGCCGCCATTCCGTCCTGGTGCACGGGGAAGGCCACTCCCTGGAGAGTCTGCTGCTTAGTGTCCACGCTGATGTCTGTTTGAACCTGAAAGACATTTTAATATGAACTTTCTGCTATTATTACCAAAAGTACAAATCCAAACCAGGACAAAGTACAAAGTCAATGGGGATTTCCTCCTCCTTTGGTCCCAACGCTTTAATGACGATTAGGGAGCAACAGATTGGATTTAGTTACATGATTTTTATTAATATGTACAACTTATGATTGTTTTCTGCTTTATGTCGTTGTCCTGGACATTTTAATATAGCAAATTTGCAGTTCATGCAAGACAGAGCAGGAACACACAGGAACTGGGAGCTTTTTGCCAAGAAAAAATGGAAGCTTTACCATCAGAGAGACCAGAGAGAGAGACCAGAGAGAGAGACCAGAGAGAGACCAAAAATGAGAGACTAAAAAGAGACTGGGAAGAGCGAGAAAGCAGGGAGAGAAACAAGAGAAAGACCAAAGAGAGGGAAAGCAGAGACTAAAAAGATAGACCACAGAGACCAGAGAGAGTAAAATAAATCTCACAAAAATAATTATCTAAACCATAACCATAATATATTTCTACGTTCACCAACATTGCTTCATATTTAACAAACAAACGTATCTGAAAGAAGTATCGAGTATTTCTCTCAAAGCTCTGTTTTCTGTACAGACACTAGTTCTCCTTTTCCGCTGGAGGCGTTTCGAAGAGGGCACTTCCTATTTGCTCGAAAGCTCTAATTGACGAGACTTTAGGAGACTCAAAGCATTTCCTTATTTGGTTTCACAGACACTTCAGACACTTCTGCAGAGAACGCAGCAGCAGCAGCAGCAGGAAGGAGATAATGAGGAGTTCAAAGTCCTCTCAAAACATGGGGAAATCTCGGTATGCAAATGTGTGGGCTATTGTTTTATGCAGACGTTTGGGAGGAAGAAATACAGCAGAACTTTGCAAGGGCTGAATAAAACCAGGAACAATGGAGCTGCAGCCACGGTTTAAGTAAGAGGTGAAGTCTGAGCAGAATCAGCAAAAGCATCCACTCGACAGGAGATCGTTTTACAGTCGCCCTTTCTCTCAGTCCTGGCTCAGACCTTCAGGACACAGGGACACGGAGAGCAGGGGTGGGGGTGAGGGTGGGGGTGGTGGGGGGGAGCATCCATGTAGAGTACAGTAGTAGAATAGGACTTCAAATCAGTTCCAAATCAGGCTGTGACGAGCTCAATATCATAATTAATTGGTTGTTGATATAGTTGGCAGCTATGTGACAGCCCCTGCAGGGGAAAGCCAAATAGATCAGAGGGGGGGAGGGTTGGGGGGGTAGAGAGAGAGACCAGAGAGAAACCAGTGAGGGAGACCAGAAGGGGGGATAGAGATAGAGACAGAGAGAGAGAGAAACCAGCAAAAGAGACCAAAGAGAGAGAGACCAGTGAGAGAGACCAGAGAGAGAAACCAGCGAGAGAGAACAGGGGGGGGAAGGTTGGGGGGGTAGAGAGAGACCTGAGTGAGGGACCAGTAAGCGACCACAGAGAGACCAGAGAGAAACCAGTGAGAGAGACCAGAGAGAGAAACCAGCAAAAGAGACCAGAGAGAGAGAGACCAGTGAGAGAGACCAGCGAGAGAGAAAAGAGGGGGGGGGGGGGGGTAGAGAGAGAGACCAGAGAGACCTGAGTGAGGGACCAGTAAGCGACCACAGAGAGACCAGAGAGAAACCAGTGAGAGAGACCAGAGAGAGAAACCAGCAAAAGAGACCAGGGAGAGAGAGACCAGTGAGAGAGACCGGAGAGAGAGACCAGAGAGAGAAACCAGCAAAAGAGACCAGGGAGAGAGAGACCAGTGAGAGAGACCGGAGAGAGAGACCAGAGAGAGAAACCAGCAAAAGAGACCAGGGAGAGAGAAACCAGCGAGAGAGAAAAGAGGGGGGGAGGGTTGGGGGGGTAGAGAGAGAGACCTGAGTGAGGGACCAGTAAGCGACCACAGAGAGACAAGAGAGAAACCAGTGAGAGAGACCAGAAGGGGGGGGTAGAGAGAGAGACAGAGAGAGAGAGAGAAACCAGTGAGAGAGACCTTTGAGAGAGACCAGTGAGAGAGACCAGAAGGGGGGGGTAGAGAGAGAGACAGAGAGAGAGAGAGAAACCAGTGAGAGAGACCAGAAGGGGGGGGTAGAGAGAGAGACAGAGAGAGAGAGAGAAACCAGTGAGAGAGACCAGAAGGGGGGGGTAGAGAGAGAGACAGAGAGAGAGAGAGAAACCAGCAAAAGAGACCTTTGAGAGAGACCAGTGAGAGAGACCATAGAGAAACCAGAGAGAAAGAGAAGCCAGACCAACTTCTTAACCCTTTAGGCGCCAGAGTTTTTTCAAGAAAATATACAATTTTGATTTCAAGATTTCAAAAGGCTATAACTTTAAAATGGATTGAGATAAAGGCATACTGTAAATTAGAACTATCTTCAGTTCTAATTTACAGTAGAACTGAAGAACTTTAAAGTTGAACTGAATCAACTTTGGGATGGAAGTTGATTCGTCATCTAATTTGCATATTGTGACGTCATCAAGGTGGCGGCCATTTTGGAAAATGTTAATTATTGTATAAAAACTTCAAAAAGCTGTAGCTTGGGAGTTTTTTTTAGATCAGGGAATACTATAAACAGTCAGTGTGAAATATCTTTAGTATGAAATGAATTTGGGATAGAAATAAATTCCCTGATCCAGATTATAGATAATGTTTTAGCACTGGTTCGCGGCCATACAGAATTGTATTATTTTCATAGACCTTCAGTGATCAAGACAGCTCTCTTTATAGTTTACAGTCATGAAATCTGGAGTTTGGTTTCAATATTTCCCTTTCAAAGAAGTGGTGGGCATACTATTTTTCTCGGTGGAAATCCTGGATTTATGGTTTAGAAACACAGAGATGAAATGAATGGGCTCAGAACTTGTCAGATCGTCTCAACAAGAAACAACAGGCTCTTCAACACTTCTGATCCACTTTTGTGGATTATTTTCTCTCAAGAACTGCCTTGATCCTCATCATCACTGTTGGTAAAGGCAGTGAACGCGAAAAGCGATGTGTTTTATTCCGGCGGCTCTCCCGCGTTTCCCGCGTTTCCCGTGGATGTTTACCCCCGCTACTTTCTCCCACATGCCCGGTGTTATGATGCCCCTGTCCCCTCCACCCCAGCCCCTGCTTGGCGTTCACAGAATGCTTCTACCGCGGCCACACGGAGGACAAGCAGCCGCTGCACAGAGGCTGATTGTGGACTATGGAGCGCTGTCTCCCCGTCACTAATAATATCCGTGTCTGCTTCACTGGACACCTGCGTGTCTTCCTCCTCTGAATCTGAGTGAGCCAGTACCAAACCAAGTACTTCTCTGGTACTGAAGACCTCGTGAGTAAAATAAAAAACACTCTCTCCCTCTGCTCTGCTCTCGCTCCTCTCAGCTCTGCCGCTGCTGCTTCGCCTCCGCGCTGCTGCGCCGCAGGTGTTTTACGAACTCAATTTACTCAAAAACTTTCAATATAACCACACCCACAAATGCTGCTCATATTACAGGCACACATGTCCACTAACCCCTAGTGAAAAGTATTAACAAGATTCTGCACCACATTTTTACATACAGCCTGTTTAAGTGAGCAATGTTGCTTGTCGCAATATTGCGACTTTGGCGTTTAAAGGGTTAATTATCTGGTTGTGTTTGTGCGAATGGGAGCAAGGGACTAATGCACACATTTCGGGATCAACAAAGTATTTCTCTCTCCATGGTATCCATGGTATCCATGGTATCCATGGTATCACTGCGTCTTCTTCTTGCTGCGCCTTTACCAGTCAGACCTCAGAAGTGCAGGTTTATGGCTAAAACTGGAGCTTTTGAGCGTCTCTCTGGGTGCGAGCGGGAGACATAAAAGCTCATCACATTCTGCTTTCCTGACGCTTCAGCATCTTTGTGTTTGTTGATGGAGCCAGCAAAGCACTTAACACAGCTCTGACCTTGTGCCACTACCCTCCCCTTCATTAGCTGGAAACACACATGCAGTATTGAGCTGAGAAGGCGAGGGGAGTCTCTGGTCTGAGTTTGTGCCGTGGACTAAAGTACGAGGGACGCAGAGAATACGTCAGTGAATGAGCTGGGAACAGATACAGCGGAGAAATATGGGATATTTACATTCAACACACACAGAATCAAAGCACAATACACACACACACAGAGTAAGAGAGAGAGAGAGACACAACACACACACACACACACACACACACACACACACACACAGATTAAGAGAGAGAGAGAGAGAGAGACACACACACACACACACAGAGTAAGAGAGAGAGAGAGAGACACACACACACACACACAGAGTAAGAGAGACAGAGCGGAGAGAGACAGACAACACACATATACACAGAGATTAAGAGAGAGAGGGGGAGACAGAGACAGACAAATATATACACACACACAGACAGACAGACACACACACACACACACAGACAGACAGACACACACACACACACAGAGAGAGAGTCACACACACACTAGATGAGGAACAAACATGAGAACATGCCCCAAACATCACATGAGTTGTTGTGAATGTTGTGTGTACCGAGTTTAACTTGATCTGTCGCAGTTCTTCTTCTGCAGCCGTCAGAGGCAGCGGCGCCGCCTGCGACGTCAGGTACTTCCTGTATCCACACAGACTCAAGTCCTCCTGCAAAGAAACCCACACTTAGTACCACTCACAGGTCTAAAGCAGGTCTAAAGCAGGTCTAAAGCAGGTCTAAAGAAGGTCTAAAGCAGGTCTAAAGCAGGTCTAAAGCAGGTCTAAAGCAGGTCTAAAACAGGTCTAAAACAGGTCTAAAGCAGGTCTAAAGCAGGTCTAAAGCAGGTCTAAAGCAGGACTAAAGCAGGTCTAAAGCAGGACTAAAGCAGGACTAAAGCAGGACTAAAGCAGGTCTAAAACAGGTCTAAAGCAGGTCTAAAGCAGGTCTAAAGCAGGTCTAAAGCAGGACTAAAGCAGGTCTAAAGCAGGTCTAAAGCAGGTCTAAAGCAGGTCTAAAGCAGGTCTAAAGCAGGTCTAAAGCAGGACTAAAGCAGGTCTAAAGCAGGTCTAAAGCAGGACTAAAGCAGGACTAAAGCAGGACTAAAGCAGGTCTAAAGCAGGTCTAAAGCAGGTCTAAAGCAGGTCTAAAGCAGGACTAAAGCAGGACTAAAGCAGGACTAAAGCAGGACTAAAGCAGGACTAAAGCAGGTCTAAAGCAGGACTAAAGCAGGACTAAAGCAGGTCTAAAGCAGGACTAAAGCAGGTCTACTGCAGGACTAAAGCAGGACTAATGCAGAGACGAAAACGGGACTAAAGCAGGTCTAAAGCGGGACTAAAGCAGGTCTGAAGCAGGACAAAAGCTGGTCTAAAGCAGGACTAAAGCAGGTCTAAAGTAGGACTAAAGAGACAAAAACAGATCTAAAGCAGGACGAAAGCAGGTCTAAAGCAGGTCTAAAGCAGGACTAAAGCAGGACTAAAGCAGGACTAAAGCAGGACTAAAGCAGGACTAAAGCAGGACTAAAGTGGGACTAAAGCAGGTCTGAAGCAGGTCTAATGCAGAGACGAAAACAGCACTAAAGCAGGTCTAAAGCAGGACAAAAGCAGGACAAAAGCAGGACTAATGCAGAGACGAAAACAGGACTAAAGCAGGACTAAAGCGGGACTAAAGCAGGTCTGAAGCAGGTCTAATGCAGAGACGAAAACGGCACTAAAGCAGGTCTAAAGCAGGACAAAAGCAGGACAAAAGCAGGACAAAAGCAGGACAAAAGCAGGACTAAAGCAGGACTAAAGCAGGACTAAAGCAGGACTAAAGCAGGACTAAAGCAGGACTAAAGCAGGTCAAAAGCTGGTCTAAAGCAGGACTATAGCAGGTCTATAGCAGGACTAAAGTAGGTCTAAAGCAGGTCTAAAGCAGGACTAAAGCAGGTCTGAAGCAGGTCTAATGCAGAGACGAAAACAGCACTAAAGCAGGTCTGAAGCAGGACTAAAGCAGGTCTAGAGCAGGACTAAAGCAGGTCTAAAGCAGGTCTAAAGCAGGTCTAAAGCAGGACTAAAGCAGGACTAAAGCAGGACTAAAGCAGGTCTAAAGCAGGACAAAAGCTGGTCTAAAGCAGGACTAAAGCAGGTCTAAAGCAGGACTAAAGCAGGACTAAAGCAGGACTAAAGCAGGACTAAAGCAGGTCTAAAGCAGGACTAAAGCAGGTCTACTGCAGGACTAAAGCAGGACTAATGCAGAGACGAAAACAGGACTAAAGCAGGTCTAAAGCGGGACTAAAGCAGGTCTGAAGCAGGACAAAAGCTGGTCTAAAGCAGGACTAAAGCAGGTCTAAAGTAGGACTAAAGAGACAAAAACAGATCTAAAGCAGGACGAAAGCAGGTCTAAAGCAGGTCTAAAGCAGGACTAAAGCAGGACTAAAGCAGGACTAAAGCAGGTCTAAAGCAGGTCTAAAGCAGACCTAAAGCAGGACTATAGCAGGTCTAGAGCAGGACTAAAGCAGGTCTAAAGCAGGTCTAAAGCAGGTCTAAAGCAGGACTAAAGCAGGTCTAAAGCAGGACTAAAGCAGGTCTAAAGCAGGACTACCATTGGACTAAACCTGTCCAGTAGAATCATCACTGTGGATATATCAAAGCTAGTCTGAATGAAAACCTCTTCATCTTGTGAGTTCTTGGAGTCTAAAGCCGTTACCTTTGCTGTTCCAAAGATCTCCTCCTTGATGTGGCCGCCTCCGAACTCCTTCTTCACTGTCGCTCGAGTCGCAGCGTATAACATTTTGTGTCGCACCTGTCGGACAGAAACACAACGTTTGGAACCTCGCACAGTATAAATCTCCTCTCAGATGTTCAAAGGAGAGAGTCTACAACCGTTTACCGCTATAAGTATTTTTAAATTGGCTTTTTCGATAGATTAAAGTCATCTATAACTTTTCCAAAATCTATCAAATACCAAAAAATTTCCAGGGCTTCATAAGTGGATTTCTTTCACATGATGTCACTAACCCTTTATTAACAACGTCCACTGTGAAAATAACACAAATCAATTCAAGGTATTTTTCGCCCTAAATCACAACAGCAGTCGTCTCAAAGGACTTTACCGAGTTATTGATTACAAAACAGATAAGAGAATCAAACACACGGAATGCAATGAGAACAAACCGATAGAAGCCATGGGTCCACAGGGAGCAGACGACACTGTCAATATATGTTAATAAATGTCCTGGATCATCACTGTCCTTAGACCCTCCTGCATCGACAGAACCACTCAAAAACCAAGAATGAGAAACCTCGGATGGCCCAGAGTGAGAGAGGGATCTGCTCCCCCAGACGGACAGGCTGTAGATCCAGGACTGAGGCTGTAGACCCAGGACTGAGGCTGTAGATCCAGGACTGAGGCTGTAGATCCAAGACTGAGGCTGTAGATCCAAGACTGAGGCTGTAGATCCAAGACTGAGGCTGTAGATCCAGGACTGAGGCTGTAGATCCAGGACTGAGGCTGTAGATCCAGGACTGAGGCTGTAGATCCAAGACTGAGGCTATAGATCCAAGACTGAGGCTGTAGACCCAGGACTGAGGCTGTAGATCCAAGACTGAGGCTATAGATCCAAGACTGAGGCTGTAGATCCAGGACTGAGGCTGTAGATCCAGGACTGAGACTGTAGACCCAGGACTGAGGCTGTAGACCCAGGACTGAGGCTGTAGATCCAGGACTGAGGCTGTAGACCCAGGACTGAGGCTGTAGATCCAGGACTGAGGCTGTAGACCCAGGACTGAGGCTGTAGATCCAGGACTGAGGCTGTAGACCCAGGACTGAGGCTGTAGATCCAGGACTGAGGCTGTAGACCCAGGACTGAGGCTGTAGATCCAGGACTGAGGCTGTAGACCCAGGACTGAGGCTGTAGATCCAAGACTGAGGCTGTAGATCCAAGACTGAGGCTGTAGATCCAGGACTGAGGCTGTAGATCCAGGACTGAGGCTGTAGATCCAGGACTGAGGCTGTAGATCCAAGACTGAGGCTATAGATCCAGGACTGAGGCTGTAGATCCAGGACTGAGGCTGTAGATCCAAGACTGAGGCTATAGATCCAAGACTGAGGCTGTAGATCCAAGACTGAGGCTGTAGATCCAAGACTGAGGCTGTAGACCCAGGACTGAGGCTGTAGATCCAGGACTGAGGCTGTAGACCCAGGACTGAGGCTGTAGACCCAGGACTGAGGCTGTAGACCCAGGACTGAGGCTGTAGACCCAGGACTGAGGCTGTAGATCCAGGACTGAGGCTGTAGACCCAAGACTGAGGCTGTAGATCCAAGACTGAGGCTGTAGATCCAAGACTGAGGCTGTAGATCCAGGACTGAGGCTGTAGATCCAGGACTGAGGCTGTAGATCCAGGACTGAGGCTGTAGATCCAAGACTGAGGCTATAGATCCAGGACTGAGGCTGTAGATCCAGGACTGAGGCTGTAGATCCAAGACTGAGGCTATAGATCCAGGACTGAGGCTGTAGATCCAGGACTGAGGCTGTAGATCCAGGACTGAGGCTGTAGATCCAGGACTGAGGCTGTAGATCCAGGACTGAGGCTGTAGATCCAGGACTGAGGCTGTAGATCCAGGACTGAGGCTGTAGACCCAGGACTGAGACTGGAAAATTACTACACTATGGTCAAAACCTGTGATTTTAGAGGCTTAAATTTGAAATGCTGCCTCCCCATGTTTAGTTCTGACTCTGGGACCCTGTGCTCCTCAGAGTTGGTTCATATGGCACTAACATGCCACATATCTACTTTTGGTTCGAGGCCATGGAGAGACTTGTAACAAACAGAGCTGCTTTAAAGACCAGGACTAATGTGATGGTACTTCCTGGTTCTGTCAGGACTCAAGTGAATATATTCAGCTGAACATTATTTGCCACAAAAATGTGCTTTTCTTTATAGACCGAATGATGAAAACACAGCACCTCCTGACTGGATGAAACTCACATATTTCAGAGAATGCCTTTCACCATCAGGACATGTCTCAACCTGAAGATCTGCAGTCGGAGCCAAAAGCCAAGAATGCAAACTCACTCACTGATCATGTGTCTACAGCACAAAAACTGCTTTTAGCTGATGGAACAGCAGTGTGCATTTGCATATCAGTGACTGCTACAGCTTCAATTTATGTCCATGCAAAACATCCAACACCACAAACTACAACACGGAAAAAACCCTACTCTACTCTAGTATCTACTCCACTCTATATTCCTTGATAAGTAAGTAGTAAGTAATCTTTATTTATATACTGCCTTTTCACTGCACATTGGAGTCTCAAAGCGGTTTACAATTGTTATTTTTGGGAGCGGGGTCGCCAGTACAGGTGGCACATGCCAGACCTATTGTGGATATTTTTAGTGGTAGGGGAAACCGGAGCACCCGGAGGAAACCTACGCAGACACGGGGAGAACATGCAAACTCCACTCAGAAAGGCCCTGGTCCAACCGGGATTCGAACCCAGGACCTTTTTGCTGAGAGGCGAGAGTGCTATCCACTCAGCCACCGTGCCGCCCTGATAACCATGGCAGCATTCTGACTAGGGCTGGGACAACGCGTCGACGTAATCGGTGACGTCGACGCAAAAAATACACCGACGTATAATATGCGCGTCGGTGCGTCACACACAAAACAAAGATGGCGGCGAGCGGTAGCAATGCGAGTGCCGTGTTAGAGAAGTGCAAGCCGGTGTAACGCTGAGATACACTGTCTTGAAGAGATGCACTGCCTCAGCTGTTTATGATGTAATGCAAACCTGCGCATGCGCGTCTCACGGCAGCCGAAGCAAACCAAGATGGCGGACCGTGAATTTCTTTAAAAGTTAAAATACGAACGAATTCAGACACGAATGTCACTTTTAATGCAATTTGAGGCGAGATGTTGATGGTTCCGTTTTGTCACATGTGGGTTTTAAGAGTCAAAGTTTCGTGCAAAGTTTAGTTTAAGCAGTCAACTGCGCCTGTGAAACCACAAAGCTAATGTTTTCATAGCAGTCCGCGGCTGCTGACGTAGGCTGATGACGCGTCCTGTGGCCACTCTGCAGCTTAAAACTAGTCTGTCTTTCTTTGTATCAAACGGAATATTGGCGCCCGTAATAGCCCCTACATGTGTTATTCACTGTCATGCCCGCCGTATATGGACATTATTCAACATGTGTTCAATATCCTTAATGTGTTTAACTGTTGATTGATTCTCTGATCTGTGTTGGTGACTTCAATGTTGTTTTAAGTCCTCTGAGATTACTTCTACTGTATTCTTTCAGTAACTCTAAAAGAAAGGATGACTGGTTGACCTTTTTATTTGCTACACAATGCATTGTTTTTCTCTTGTACACTCTTACTTGAATTTTATTTTTGAATTTTGAGTTTAAGAAAAAGGTGAGTGGCAGAGTTTTGACTGTTATTTTTATATGAATGAAGAATTTAAGAGATGCACTTTAATTAATGGACTTCAGTAATATAGGCCTATGTGTCTTCAACTTAAATGTTAAACTCT